GGCTCGGTTCGAATGCCTGGTGTGTTTTGACTAAGTGCTGCTCTGTAGTCGTCCAAAATGCCAGACAATTCGGTAATTCCCCTTGGACATTTTTTTAGGTAGGAAAAGTAGGACATGTCCAGGAAAAGGAGGACGTCTGGTCACCCAACCATATGAACAATTTGATGTTTCAGTGAGTGAGTGCTTGTTGCTATGATGCATCTTTGCTCAGTAGCTTCGCTCGTTGTAAACCAACCAATCAAGCAATCTAAATATTCATGAGCATTCAATAAAAGGATGAAAACCTGTTGTTTCATTCTAGGGCTTTTAACCAGGCTTGCATTAGGGCCCATAGAACAGCAAATACACCATTTTCAGCTCAACTAATGTTACACACCCTATTCAGAGACCTTAAGGACCAGCAACAAATGCCCTATACAATCATTCTATGACCCCGTTAAAATTGTACATAGAATGAATGTAAGTATAATTCTATGCTTGTATAATTATATTTCTGACACTGTTGGTTATTCTGTGAATGTAACCAGTTAATCGGGAAAAACTTTTAAGTTATTGAGATCCACCTGTTGGTGCGTCTTTTTAACTACTGTTATTTGCAACTATGAGGCTCAATTTTCGTTTGTATTCTGGAAGCCCACTTCAACAAAACTTTAAGAACTTTTAAAAGCCTGATAGAGACTAAATCCCCAGCAAAGCTAATTAGTGATCTGGTACTACTTTCTAAACTTAATTGCAGAAAGAGTTGTGCTAGTGAGTCCCTAGTGAATGTTCTTTTTTGGTTTGTTCAAGACTAGCTGTGTCTAATTATCAAGCTAGAGAACCAAAAGGCAGCTAAATAACAAAGAAGAGCCTGATTTCCAAATTTGATAACATTGTATTACTTTCCTCAAAAGAAGACAGACTTAAAAACCAAAATCACAGAGGTGTGGAACAATTCCTGCCTGTCAGCAAAGACAAAAAATATTTCCACCAGGTTTAGATTGCTGTAATAATTTTTTTTATTTAGAACCTATATTATTCCTGTAAAACCCACATTTTACCCTGATATACCTAATGTATGTGTCAAATGTGGTTTAGATAACAGCACTCTTTTCTCATTGTATGTGGCAGTCTCCAGAACTTAACAGTTTTTGGAAGAACGTTATTACTTGTAACTAATGTATGATTGTAATGTGACAATGGACAGTAGACTCTATTGCATATTTTCCCAAAAGGTTTTACAGGAGCTATAAAAGAAAATAAGCTCAAAAGTTTCTACTTGTTGCAGGCTAAGCATGCAGCAACTGGAAAGCCACAGAAAAATTTAAATAAACCAGTGGATTAATTCAATTTAATTCAGATTATTTATATTGCGCCAATTCACAACACATGACAACTCAAGGCACTTTACAATTCAACAAGATCATACAGTCTAATTGATTCAGAAATGTCTACCTAAGAAAAATCAGTTGATTGCATCGACTCATTGACTCAAAGGCATTCCTCACACCAAGCATGCTTGTAGCGACAGTGGAGAGGAAAAACTCCCTTTTAACAGGAAGAAAACCTCCAGCAGAATCAGGCTCAGTGTGAGCGGCCATCTGCCAAGGTTCAAGGAGACAACAGCAGGTGGGCAGAAAGAAGCAGGGATACGAAAGGCAATTGTAAACCAGCTCCACAGGCGGCCCTGTCCAGGCAACCCACAGCCAGGCAGACAAGCTCTGAGCCAGCTCCCATTTCAGAGGTTGAAGAGAGCACATCCAGTCATAGTCAGAAAAACAGAACTACACTGAAAAACTGTCCGATCTCGATTAAACAAATGTCCAACAACCTGGCACTGGAGAAACTGACCGGCATCATGAGAGGAAAACTGGGGGACTTTTTTTAGAGATATAATTTCCCTTCCTGTGTCTTATGAAAGACGTGAGGTCTGAGTTTTGATTTTATCTTTTTGTTTGCCTTTGTATTTTCTAGTTGATGTTATACATCATTAAATGTTTAAAATTCAATAAACATATGTGTGAAAAAAAGAAATAACAAAGAAGAGTTGTCTATGTACATGTATTGTTTATTTGTGGGCTTTTAGCGATTATAAGAAGGTAAATAAAAACTACTGTTATATACTTTGGCTTTCTAATCAAATATTTGTGTGTGTTTGATTCAAGGCTTGAGATTTTGAGCGGTTGTATATAATATATAATCTGTACAACTGGTTCTCTTCATCAGGGGTTAACTGATTTTTTTTTTGTCAAATCACCAACTTCACAGAAGTACTGAAATATGTCCAAGTAACCTTTTCAGATAAATCTTTACTTTCTAATTTGCCCCAGCTGTGTTTTGTAAAGCTAGTACAGTATAATATTAGCAATTCTCTTTTTTCTATTGTATTGTTCCAGCAGAATAAAGCTGCCTACTATTTGCGTGCTTGGTGTCTCAATGGGAGCAAGTTCACAGGTAGGAGGTGAATAAAATTAATAATACATATGACCCCTACTTGGCATCAGCAGTAGTGGGATGCATTTTTTAAATGCTGTATGAGTAAATACAAAATCTAAAACAAAAACTGCATATATCTAAATGTGCTGCTGACCCATTCAAATATAATATAGTCTCTTTCCCCTCATTAACCCTTATAGCCGGCCTGCAGACACATTTCCATTCCTGTCAGATATATTTCCCACATTCATTATAATGAAGCATTCCACCGGGACATAGTATTAGCAAATGTTTCAGCAAAAATATTTCATCTTTTGGTTGAGTCCATCCTAAAGACAAACTATCTCATAAAGATTTTATTTACTTTGTGAAGTAAGTAAAAAGAAAAATTAAAATGATGTGGATTTTTTTATAACGAATCTCAGCATGCAGTAAATAAAAAGTATAAAAAGTAGATTCAAAATGCACCTTCTGACTCAATGCAAGGTTCATGTGGCCAAACAGACGCTGCAAAGGGGCAATTACCTTTTATGGAGGGATTATCTGCCGCCAGGGACCTCTAAAGGCAAACTGAAATACTGTCTTTTGGAAACTAAAATAAACAGCATTGTTTCCTTTCAAAAAGACTGTCCGGAGAGAATACATGAAGATAAAGCTGGTTTTTGTTGAAGCGCACTAAAGGATTAGGCCAGCTCTCATATTTTCCCTAGGGATATGGCAATAAGAGAAATTGGGTTTTAATTTATTTTTATTATCTGTTTAAACCTTGTGTTTTCTCATGGTTGTGTAAAAATGAAAAAAACACTTTACATGGGTTCAATGGAAGAAACTGAACCCTAGCACTGGCATTTATACATTAGGATTTTAAGTTTTATTAAAGAATAAAAAATGTCTACCAACTTTATTACTGGAAAAGGCAAGTATATAGACTAACCTGAATGAAGTGGCTTTTAAATAAAACTATGGTATTTTTTTATCTGTCTTCTATCAGTAGTTCGACTTTTCTTATTTATTAGATATGTAACATAAGTAAGAAACATATTTTCCTGTCTAAACAAACCTTACAAGGACATGGACTGATTGTGTATAAAAAGGAAAGTTCTAGCTGCTTTTATTCACAGCTACCTATAGACTCTCTATATTCAATCAAACTGAGTGTGAGCTGCTTTATTAAATAGTATTATTTAATATTAATCTTATATATTGAAGCCAATAGGCATACCTGAACCAGCTGTAAATGTCAAGGCTAAGAAAAGTAGGACCCAGAATTCAGGAAAGACAGACAGTGGAATAACTTAAAAGTGTTTATTTAAACCAGTGGGTATGCTGAAGCAGTGGCTAGAGGTCTAATACAGGAATGTCTATAGGAGAGGAACACAGGTTAGTGACCACGATAAGCTGACGGATGATTATGAACGTGTGAGTCACTAACCTGGTTTGACAGTTCAGTTCGTGCCCAGAAAACAAGGATGATTCCAGCCAGTTGGCTGACAAGACGCAGTGGATGCTGCCAGAGCATTCAAGACGCGGAAGCCTAGAAGGCTGCAGGACTAACAGGGGATCAGATTTGAGCTGACAACGGAAGGCAGGATAATCTAGAGGATGAAGTCAAAAGGCAGACCAAGGTCCAGTCCACGGAAGAATCCAACAGGAGTCCGAAGAAAGGCCAGGCAAACAGCTCAGAGAGGAGCAGGCAGGCTCAAAAGTCCGAATACAGAAACAGGTCAGAATCAGGCAAACAGAACACTATAGTAACGCTCGAAAACTCCTAGACCAAAGGCTCAAGAATAATCTGGCACTGATGGCTAGGACCAAGGATTTTAAATAGAAGCAGGAGCAGGCTGATCAGTTGAGCAGTGATGAAAACAGGGCGGAGCTAGACAGGTGAATGAAATGAGCAATCAAGCCAGCCATCAGTGCCAAAATCATGACAGTAAAGACAGTAAAAGTCTAGTTATTGAATGAGAGCTGAATTCAAATGTATCCTCTAATTTTAAAACATCTAGAAAGCATTTATCATGTTCTTTTGGCTTTACAGTTATTGATCACTCTGTGTTCACCACACGAAAATTCTCATAATATTGAAGATTGAGTTCCTACTATTCTTATCTTAAGTCCCACGGGTAAAAAAAAAAGGCTCATGTGGCCCCTGAAACTATTTCAATCTGAATTTAGATGTAATGCTGCATTGGTTTGAAAGAAATATGCTATTAATGCATACTTATACTTAATGATTCACAAAGTAAGTCAGAAATAACAAATCATTGAAAGCCCACAGACTTGCAAAAGTAGAAAACATGCAAACTAACTCCATTCTACCCCTGCAGCTGCAGAACGAGGATTATTAATCAGTACACCAGAACAAGTAAGATATCCCCAAGTCCACAACAACAGTTAGTTGTGAACTTGCAGAAAATAGCCCAAGGAGAAGTTTATGCAACACACACACACGCATACAAACACTTCCACCTGCTCATTTTAGAAAGGGTCATCAATCATGCACACATGGCTTGATCCTCAGAGAAAGCAGAGGGAAGGGGGTAAAAATCAAGCACACTCACTCTGACCAAAAGATGAATACTAACATTTCATCTTGATTTGTTGGATGATCTCGATAATCTCCATCTCTGTAGGCATGTAGCCCGTGGTTCTCATGCATTCTGCAATGTCTTTGTAATGGATGAATCCATCCGCATCGTAATCAAATTCCTTAAAGGCCTCTTGAAGCTCTGGCAGAAACACAAATGAAACTGTAAGGCATGAAGTAAAATAGTCTTCCCAAGAGTCAAACATAAAAACTCACTCTCACAGTTTGTGCAAGAGTTGTACATATTTTTGGGCAAGTTAATGACTTCTTGAAATAGCTAAATATCTCCCAAAAGAACACATTTACGGAGATGGTGAAAATATTTACACCTCTGCAAATTTTTCTAATTTCCTCAAGTTGCAACCTCAAACTCCAATGTATTCAATTAGGATATATGCAATAGATTAACTCAGAGTAGGGCATAATTGCAAAGAGGAAGAAAATTGACACACTTTTCATTTGTTGTTGTTTTTTCATTCAGTTAAATAAGCTGAAAGGTATACTTTGTAAATTCACTTTCCCCCTGATATTACAGCTACAAGTTTTTTGGGGATTTCTTTTTAATTAGCTTTCTACATCTATATACATAACATTTTGTCAAAATCTTTTCCAAATAGCCCAAGCTCAGGCAGAGAGGACATGTTTAACACACATTAGACCTGTAGCGCTAAAGTGTGACAGAAAAGTTTTTCAGACTCCTGCTTTGAAGACTTTGATTTTTGAGGGGAGCATTTTCAACATAAATTTGCTTTATGAATTATCCATTACTGCACTAGTTTCACTTTTGAAAAGGGATTTGTTCAACACTCAAGTATCCAACAGTTTGCTCAAGCTTGCCATGTGTTCATTCCTACCTAGTTCTGCATCAACTCAGCTGGCTCCCCCATTCTAAGAGGAAAGAGCATCCCTGCAGCCTGAGGCTACAAGCCTCCCACCATCCCATGACAGAAACACAGATCTATGTTTTTCTCCTGGAGATGGTTGCTGGTGTTGGCCTTTAAGTTACACTTTTAGAGGTTTAGTGTTTTCTCTGCAACACTTGAAGCAGACACTAAATTGGATTTGCTTGTTTTTTGTGTGTGTGTTTTTTTTTTTTATCAGCAATGGATCTCTCTAAATTTTTCCATAGATTTGTTCTAGATTTTCTGAATGCAAGCGTAGTAAAGGGAGAGTGATACCTAAACCGATGCGTGCATGTGCTCACAGATTCACTTGTGCACTCAGCAGCCATGCCTCAGATCACGGGAAACACATGCTTCTCCCTCTACCTGCCATCCATTGTTGATTTATTAATAAATGTTTAAATTAATAAAAGTGTTGTTTTTTTTTTATCACTGTAGCTATTTTATAATTTAAAAGAAGAAGGAAAAAGCAATACAGGCTCTTATAGAATCAGCCTCCCAAAAAGATTATCAGCATATATCCTTTATTGGTTTGAAAAATTGGTGTCGGCCTTTAAAAAAAACATATTGGTTCACATTGTAGCTCCTCCAAAGTTACAATGGATGCTTTCTCTGTCTAAAGCTCTCCATGCTTGACCTGCCGGCTTATTTGGGCTGCCATTTTCTGGTAGTTATATGATCTGTCCCTCATGTCCTCGAGTTGTAGCCTTCTCCCTGTAGCATCTAAGTTTTGGTTTTCATAATCCTATTATTTCCAGTAGGGTGCCCTAGAGAACAGGGGCCCGACAAAACAGATGGGTTGAAACTAGGGATACATTTTACCCAAGTGGAGACTATCTAATAGGTGGTTTCTGATCTAGGTTTAATTGGGGGCTTTTCTTAATTTTCAAAATGATGCATTAAATAAAATGGATAAAAAAAAAATCTATATATATATTACAATATATGAAACAATCTGCATATTTTTCCAAGGCACGATATGTTGTTTTTTTCATGTATTTTTTGCAGCCGGAGACATGGCATACTCAGGGATTTATTACAGGCTGAAATTCTTTCCATCTTATATGAATGATTATATATTTAAAAAAATGTAATACGTAAATGTCTGCATTCACAAGCGATATGTCATGCATGTGCTTTGTAGGAGTTGCATCAAAAACACTTCCATCTTACCATCAATCTCCAGCGGCATCAGCTCCCTCTCCTGCAGTGCAGAGAAAGGACACAGAGGTAATAATTAGAAAACAGTTTCGCAGGACAGCGTGTGAAATCAGGGTGACTTTAAAACAGGATTCTCCTGAGAAATGTGCAGTTATAATTTGTCTTTTGACTGCCAAATTAGGACAACATGCATATCATGTCAGAGCTGCTGTGTGCTAGCAGAGGAGTCTAATGGGATTTCACCCAGCGACATGTCTCTCTAATTGGCAAAATGATACCATATCACGCTCTCATGCGTGTGTGCACGCTCACACAGTCTCTGCTTCATCCGGAGACATCATCTTAGTCAGCAAGCACCCAAAAACACGCCCACGCAAAACTATACAACAGTAAACCTTGTCGCGCAGAGAAACAAACACATGAAGGCTTATTCCCAGAAATGCACCAGTGTACGCTGGCCTACTTAGGCAGAAGATGTTATTTGCATATGGCTACCAGCATGAGTCATTCACCACTCTCTGGTTTGTTTTGTGTCCCTTTTTCTTGCATTTTCAAGTATTTCAGCGAACAGGAGCAGAAGTGTTAGGGGCAAACTATCGAGTTTAGGTGTGAATGGCTTTGGATTTCATGTTTGCTGAGGGCTTGAAGTCACAATGTGTTAATGAGTCTGTCTACAAGTAGACAGAAAAGACAATAAAGGTGAAAAGCTTCAAATAACGTCCTGGTGATTGACTAACCGAGCCTGCAGAGGAATAAATACAAATATATGCAAATTTGGAGACATTTTGTAAATTATTAGTGCCAATATTTTTGCTTGTAGGGGCGTGGAGGAGGGTGGGTAGTGGGGAGAGGGGACTTCGACTTGAATGATGTTGTTTTAGGTCAAATTTCCCTGTGACATGTTGATGTGCTTCTGAGCAAGGCACTCCAGGCTGCATATTCATGTATGAATGCCTGCATGTTATCAGATTTGCTGACTGTGGCACTAGTGTCAAGAACTTTAATTCGGCTATGTTGATTAGAAAGGTGCTATAAAAAATTTGAAGAATCCTATCCAGTATAAACACCAATCCTTTTCAGCTCACTACATAAAATTATACTGTTTGAAGCTTTAATTACCTTTCAAACATCTTTTTTTAATTAGTTTTTTTTATTTTTCACTTTTCTGGAGAAGACAAGTTAATGATGAAAAATAGGGTGAAAAGAAGTGAAATATAAATTTTGAAATCAGTTTTATAAATAAGATTGACATTGAAGTCAGAAGCACAGTTTGAATCATTATATAAAAAAGCTGTTTTTATACTAAGCACCTTGTAAATTTGCCCAAACTCCTTTAATCCTCTCCAGTGTCTCGATTTGTATATTAACTGCTCTGATTGACCTTGTGCGTTTGAAAACGAACACATTCACATTCACATCATTCATGTGACCAGTAGTGGGATGGTAGGTAGGCAGATGCAACAAAATGCAGGTTATTAATTTTAAAAGAAATTTTGTGGGGGGCTGTAGAAGACCTGAGACTGAGACAGAGGTTTCACCTCATAGGAGAATATTTAATCTTACAGCCAAACCTATATGGTAAATGGTAAATGGCCTGTATTTATGTTTTCAAATCAGGAAACTTGACCAAAGTGCTTATGCTACATTCAGTCAGTAAGCTACATTGTAGCCACAGCTGCCCTGGGGCTCACTGACGGAAGCACGGCTCCTGTACACTGTTACCACCAGGCCCTCTGAGCACCATCAGTAGACAATGCAGGTGAAGTGTGACACAGCAACACTGAAAGTTGGCTTGAACCATTAACCTTTCGAGGCCCCTTTCAGGGCAAACTTCGACACCCAACTACACTGTAGGATATATGGTGTAGTTTAGAACAGGTCTGCAACCTACAGTCACCTGTGTCTGTTTGGACCCTCTACAATGGCTTCTGATGCTGGTGATGCTGATATAATGAACTAACTAATGTACTATAACAAAAATACCATTCCTGAAAGCTCTAGTGTTTTTTATAACTGAAATGGGTTTTCACAACAGAATGATATTAAAAACACCAGAAGTATGTTTTTAGAGCTCTATTTCTATTAGATGGCTCTGATATTGGTTTGTAAATTGCTTGGATATTGTGTTTTATTATCATTTTTTTTAACATCAAATAATACCCTTTAGAATGAATGAAATGTTATGAACTGTTTTGTTTTTCCTTATTTCAGATGCCAAAAATACAAATGAGCTGTTGGTTGCTTGAGATGGCGACAGATTTGAACATTTGAACGTGAACAAGTGGTCCAGACAAAGCCAGTACCTAAAGCCAATAAGAAAATCTGTGACAAGACCTGAAAAACAATCTGAATGAAAAGAATGGAACAAAACATGAGTCTTTAGATGTCAAAGCTCATGCTGGCATACCTAGAAATACTTAGAGCTGTGGTGGTTCTAGGAAGTATTGCTGAAGGGTTCTAAATGCAAACGCAAACATTCCAGTTTTTTATTAAGTTGAAAACTTTAAAACCAAGTAATATTTTCCCACCATGTCACACATTCACTATTTTGAGTTTCCCATAGATACACAGTAAAAAACATTTAAATGTATAATCCTACAGCGTGATCCTGCTGTAGCCTATGGCTTTTGGCAGCTTGTAAAACAATACATTCAAAGAGAAAAGACGGACACAAAAACCCACACAGGCTCAGATTATTGGCAACATCAATTTGCTTTCGGCTTGTTTTGCTTTGCTGCTAAGAGGAAGCCTGCTGAGACTCAATACAATTCACAATTATAAGACACTGAGCTGCATGCTGAGTAATTTTGCTCACTGAGAGAAACTTTTTACTAACACAAAAAGCCATTTTCACAAAATCAGTGCAATGTTTGGCTGATTATTAGGATATGTACTAATGCCATTCATAATACGGAACAAAAACAATGAAATAAAGGTCCCTCAAATGCAAAAGGCTGTAATGGGTATCTGCAGATAAGATCACTAACTGAGGTAAAAAGGTTGCATATATTGATTATTCAGGAATTATTTAAGCAGTTAAGATTAGATTTTCTTAAGAAAGTATAAGGTTTAACTTAAGAAAAATCTGCTTAACTTTTAATCAGCCTTGTTAAACGATAGACACTTCATAATTCATAAAAGGTTCAGAACTTTGTCTTTAAAATCTTTTTAACAGAAATGCCTACCATAGCCTGGAGGCTGTTTTATTCTATTTTTGAAGCAGAGCTTTTATCAGTCTACAGTAGGAATAGTTGTCCTGAATTTGTATGTCTTTATCAAATAAAGCTAATATACAAAAGAAAAATGCATGTTTGACATTTGCTGCAGGTAAAAAGAAAACCATACAAGGTCACCCTGCTCAAGTTCTCTATGACATCACAAGGAGAAAAGGCTCCATGATTTATTTGGATGTCGCTTCGCATGGCACCGTTTCAATGATTATTCACTGTATCACATTGCCAACTCAGTTTAAACGCGAAGCCAAGAGGCACTTGCATCAGGAGTTATATCACTTCTCTTGTCAGCCTGATTTATTAAAGCCTTATGGTTTCATATGATTTCTCTTGTCATGTTGCAGCAGTGCTGTTTACCCTCCACAATGTCGTCCAATCATGCAGGAGCAATATTTAGTTAGCAAGGTCAGCACATTAATTGGATTTTTTTTTTCTATTGCCATCCTGAAAGGATCAGACGGCATGCCACACAGTCAGGTTCACTTCATCCATCAGACAGAGCCCATTAACAGTTAATGTCATTCTGTCTGGCATGGCCATGTGAGTTGCTTTGTTAGCATGACGCATGCACACGTAAAGTCGTCAGACTGAAAATGCAGCTAAAAAAAGCCCGCTGGGGAAAATTCCACTGCGTTTTAAGTCACTCTTTCAACCATTTTATAAGATTTAGATAAATCCCATAATGTGTTCTGTTTTTTTTTTCTCTACTAGATTTGATAAGGGCTGACAGTAAATAAGGCTCAGTGGTTATTGATACTAATGTTGACATGAAGACTGCTGCAGGATAGGTGTTATCTCTGCCTCAACGACATCCCAGCATAAACGCAAACTACACATCCTCTGCATGGCTCCAGGAGAATTCAGACCAGAGAGTGAGAAAGTATGACTAGAAGAATTAGTCACTGATGGAGATCTGTTAGAAGTCCAGCATCATGGTGAATATTTTCTCTTTGCAGATAATTTGCTTAAATGCTGAAACAGAAAAACAGCTTAAGGTAAAAAAAAAAAAAAAACTCCTTTTATTCTTTAATTTCTAGGTTTCACACAGTTTTCATTACATTCTCTGAATCTGAGCATTGAACCATTATCCACTGTTTTATTCACTGTATATTCCAGAAGGCAACGCAAGACAAGTTATTATACAGCCATATTAATAGACAAGGAGATTTAATATGATTTAAATTAAATTAAATAAAAGTTTTTTTCTCAATAATTAATTATGAAAAAAACTTTTGTAAAGCATTACATAAAAAGAAAGAATCACTAAAAATGTTTTTTTTTTTTTCTCCAGTTACACCATTAGAGAGACTAGATTAAAAGCTAATATTTTCAGTCCAAATTTTCAACAATTTAAGAATTTATGGATGTTTCTGACACTCAGTTCTTCAATTCAGTTTCGATTGTGTTTTATTTTTGCTAATTTTACCAGACCTCTCTGGCCTATTACATAAACAAGAAAAAAAATTCTCTCTGGAAGGGAAAAGGTAGAATTCAGGATGTTTTGTTACTACATCATGTCTCATTGTTCTGTTTTCAGACCGGTGGGAGGTGCAGCTCAGTAAACTAGAATAGGCCTTCCAATGAGATGTGTTTTTTTGCTGAAGAGTACCTTCTAAAAGTACTCATAGGTTAATCTCACAATTCGGTATTTAAAAATATAATTTTTTATTATTGGACGTGATGTTTTATATTTCTTTAGAAATTAAAAATGTTCTATTTTGGCCGCTCACACTCAGCCTGGTTCTGTTGCAGGTTTCTTCCTGTTAAAAGGGAGTTTTTCTTCTCCACTGTCGCTACAAGCATGCTTAGT